ATAATGATAAAGGTTTAGGTAGATATAATTATTTAATGAATTCTTTAGGAAGACTTGACAGTTACTCCAACTTTGCTTCTTATAGAATTGGAGCCTGGAGTCCTGGACAACAAAGGGGTACGGATTTTTTTATTTTCTATCTTGGGCCATTCGCCATTATTAAGCCTCATATTCCATCTATTTCCCTTCTTGACTTCTGACATCCGTTTTTGTTTTGCAGATTGATATGATGACTGACAACCATGGGGGAAAGCTCTTGCTCCATAACTTTAATTTGCTGAACTAGGCTCTTCTGTTTTATATGTTCAGTCTAGACAAGGATCATAGAAGTAAAATGAGATAATTTGTTTGTGATGCCACACCTACATCGTCTTATGTAAAAGAAATATATTTTCTAGTTCCAAGCTTATTCTTTGATCAAAGGTAAACACTCTATGATGAAGACAAATCACCAAAGATACAAAGGATTAAAATTTTGGATTAATGAAATTCTTTTCACAAGCTAACTATCATGCATGTTGTCTATTTGGTGGAGTCTAGTTGGCTAAATGGGCGACAGAATTGACTATATAAAGCCTTTGTTTAAAAATATTGAGAGAATTGCTAATAAGATTTTGTTGCATTTGATTCTTTAATTTGTTTATTCACTTTGTATTTGTAGTTTAATTTTTTTTATAATTTAAATGAATCACTTTATTATTTAATTTTTCAAAGTGTTTTTACATATATCAAACGAAATGGATTATATATTACACAAAATATAAGTCACATGTTTATGCATGCAGGACAGGCACATGTTACCTTATGGAAAGTGTTTCATAACACATCCCCACATAAAATTGCGTTTGGCTTTAAAAACCCGAATGGGATGATTCAAAACCATGTTGTTGTTAAAAAATCTATTGAAGTAACACATTGTTCCATGCCCTTCTACATTCAAAAATGTACTCTTAGATGAGATCAAAGTAAGTTTGATTGAATGAATTAGTTGTTCACAGTATATATTTCTGAAATGATGTCACATTATTTAGTTACCAACTTGAAATGTTTAGGGTGCGTTTGTTTTAGTATTTTGGATAGTATTTTGCAATGTTTTAAAAACCGACTCGAGACAAAACCTGGCAAGGTGGCCGGGTCCCGGGTCGATCTGTTTAACCGGTTGAACTAATTGGTTCAACCGATGACATCATCATGCTGACGTCAACAAATTTACTGTTTACAGATTGCAAATTTCCAGAATTTGGCTCCAAATCATAAACTCCGGAATAAAAAATCATTAGCAAAGCATCATCAAACATCATTACATCAATAATACGATAAATTACAAATCAAAATAACAAAATGAGGGAAGAAAAATGACATAATAGGCTTCGTTTGTTTCGCTTTTGGGAATACTATTATTAGTATTCTCAAAAAAGTTAAACAGTAAAATGTCATTATTCCCAAAATATTATTCTATATTTTTCAATTTCTTTTAAACCTCCTAAATTTATTAATTTAACTAAACACTCCTAAATATTTTTTTTAGAAATTACAAAAACACTCCAGCCACCCTCCGACGGTGATGGTCGGCTGTCAGTATTTAATGGGTGGGTTAGAGGTGTTTTTGTTAACTTTTAATATTTTATTATAGGAGTGTTTAGTAAATAAACAAACATAAGATATATTTTTATTAATTTCTAAATCCTACATTGTAATACCCGCCCAATTTAACTTTTTTCAAAAGATTATTTTAAAAACTATTAGAATAATGAACCAAACAGAGCCATAATTGTTTCAACTTTCAAGTCAACACTTCAACATTCTAACAAAAAATGATCTTCATCCAATGGTCTTCAATCCATCATTTCATCCTCAATTAAAATTTACAATTCACATACCACCTAACAGATGATCATCATTATTATTAACCTCGGCGACATCATCTACAATCGACGACATCATCTACAAAAAAATTATAGATGATGTCGCCGATGTTAACGTGTATATATGCCTGTGTTTCATTTTCTCCAGAACCCATTAGACATATTAATGTTTTAGTGTATAAAATGAGGTGATTAGTCACTGTTTGAAATTATTAGTAAATTCTGATACCAAATGGTAAGGATGAAACATAGGCATCAATATCATGTAAGCATAATATGGGAGACCCACCACTTCCAATAATACTGAGAAATGGACCAATTTATCTTGTTTACATGACACATGTTAACATGGACCATCTTAAACCATCATTACATATGACATCTGTCAACAACCCCAATTCCTCTCTATCAACTTACGATGGATCGATTTCTGGCTTTTAGATCTATTTCAATTGATAAGTTGACATCGTATTTTTATGTTTCAAGACTATGGGAAAATTTATATAATACTGAATCATTCATTCCATTCAATTCAAACAGGAAGCAAAAAAAAAAGTTTGAATTAATAAGAGCTCATGTAATTACAGAAAATGAAAGCGATTCAGAAACTCAAAGAATATACACAAATGGAGCCTTCTAGAGTCGAAAAGAAATTAGAGAAACTAACAAACATAAAGTTACATTAAGCGGCGGGCTGCAGTGAAGGAGGAGGAGGAGGATACAAAGGGAAGACTGCGGAGGATGAGAAAATGAACCGGCATCGGAAAAGGAGCATCGTGAAACAAATGCTCAAGCACTCTTGCTAGAAGCACCGTGTACTCTTCCATTAACTCTGCTACAATAGCCACCAGAATCATGTTGATGTCGATCTCCTCTCTATTTGTGGTTTCTAATATTTTGCCCAGGAACTGTCGGGAAGAGGCGACAGTTCCTAGGCAAGAAGAAGACTAGATCGATTGTGCAGCTTCGAGAAGATTGACGACGACGGATGAACAGCGTAGATCAATGGTGAAGAAGAGTGTGTGAGGACAAAAAAGATCACGAAATGGGAGGAGATTCGCAGTACCCCAGCTAATGACGAAGTAAGCAATTGACGGTGAAGGCTGCAGCGACGAGATTCGATGGTGAAGGGGAGACTCCGACGGTTATTTTCAGACTTTCAGACCAAAGGGTGGGAAATGCCGTGAAAATGGGAGGAAAATGTTGATATTTGCTTTGGATAAGGGGCTTTTACTGTTCAGTTCAATATATAATTTATTATTTTTATATAATTATAATTTTATAAATTAGTTGACTCGGATTTTTTAAAAATAACGGTTGGACTAGCGGGTGCTACCGTGCATTGGTCCAACCACGGGTGTAAATGGGTAGACTGATATAAGCGATTTTGAGCCTCACCTAGCCCGACTCACCAGCCGAGTCCCGGTTCAACCGGTTCAACCAACAAAGCTAGACCAGGTTTTAAAACATTGGTATTTATATTTTTAGAGTTCGGTAGGAATAACGAGATAAGATTTAAAAATTAACAAAAACATCCCCTAAGTTTGTTAATTTACTAAACACCTCTGTAATAAAAACATTAAAAATTACAAAAAACACCCCCACCCACCCATTAAATATCGGCCACCACCCCCAAAGCCTGACCGGGGTCGCCATATCAATGCATGACTGACTAGATCTGGCCGATCATGCGCCGAGATGGCCTTTTTCATCCAAACCACCGTGGATCTGGACGAAAAAGGTCAGTTTTGGCCATGTTTTATCATCAATGGTCAGATCTTTGACTGTTAATTTGGCCTTTTCCGACTAGATACATAATGAATCTAGCTAGAAAATGATAGATCGACGCACTACTGGCCAGATCCAACTAGTAGTGCGCTATTATACCAGATTCCGGCCACCTTCCGATGGTAGTGGCCAGAATCTGGCAAATGTGGGTAGGTGGGGGTGTTTTTGTCAATTTCTAAACTTTTTTTTTGGGGGGTGTTTAGTCAAATTAATAAACTTAAGGGGTTTACAATAATTAAATATAATATAATAGTATTTTCATAATAGGGAAACAAACTGGTATTTTGGAAATAGTATGAATAGGATAGTGAAAAATATTAAACCCAACAGACCCTAAATATTATTTTTCAGTTTCAAACCCAAAATTTCATACGCTCGTTAGTTATTCATATAATGAGGCCATCAGCAATGGACATGGAAAATTGCCATTTGGTCAACAAAATTGAAGAACCCTGTATGCCATAAAACCACAATAAGAGTCCAAAAAGTTAGCTAAATCTGTGATGCCAAGCGTAAGTTCGGGGCAAAAGATATTTTGACAATTTTTTCCTAACATGGAATGTGGGACTTGAATCAATAGTAGCTTTGGAAGTGATGACAATGGTAACTTACATTCTGCTTGAGCAATGTCACAATGAGATGACAGGGAAAGGACCAAAAGAAGATTACTACTTAAATATTTGGAACGTGAGACTTGAATGGACAATCTAAATCGAATGTATTATTAAAACCTCCTATGAGCATTAACTTGTTCCAAACTCTAAGCTATAACTCAACTAAGGCAACCTAAAGAGAAGTGAAAAGATAAAATCATGTGATAGCAGGTAATGACTAGCACTACATTCCTACACATTGTTCATTACTATAAAAACCCATATGAGCAAAAACTGCAATTCTACTATCTCCATGATCAACTTAATAGAATAGCATACACAACACAGAGCAAATTGATGCATCCTGCAACTCAAAACCACACTGATGGTGAATTAATAAAGGAAAACCAATTAACCTACATAAAGATCCATCTAATTGATTAATAGATATAAAAACCAGATGACCAGCATAAAGATCCATCTAATCACAAACTCCTGCATGAAAAGATCTTACTCAGGACTGAGAAATTCTTTAGTATTACACTTGATTTCTATGTCTACTGATTTACTGTAACTTACAGAGTTATTCACACCCAAATGCACCAAAATCCTCTTCAACACTTTCAATAATACATACTCTATGTCTAACAACTTCATTATCAAAAATGGGGGAAATTAACACTGATGAATCATATTTAATTTGTAGTCTACATTTGACAAATGAAAAATCGCAAAAGAGAACAACAAAAATGAGAACATACCCATCTGCAAGTACCACTAAAAGCAACAGGAACAATCAAATGGACAAAGCGGAGTGTTTCCAGCATCAGAATTATTGATACCCAACTCCTCTTCAGTGTAGATAGTAAACCCATCTTCAGTTTTCTTCTTAGGCCGAGAAGGAGCATCTGCGAAACCACCCTCTGCAACTCCTTTACTCTTATTTTCTTTCTTCCTTTTCACCAATTTTGTTTCACCAGATTCATCTTTATTTGACTTCTGGGATTTTTTTTCTTCAGGTTTCTTCCTTTTTTTACCAGCGAAAATTTCATCAATCTCATGACTGACTTTTTTAGACTTCGAAGAAGGCTTTTCATCAATCTCTTTACTTCCTTTTTTTGACTTCGAAGAAGGCTTTTCATCTTCTACAGGAGCAATTTCTTGCGTTTTTTCAAGTACCTTGCCAGATTTAGATTTTCTAGGCATTGAGCTCAGATTTAAGCTGCAAACCCATCAAAAAAATGCGGAAATTATTAGATAAAACCATTAAAACTGAATTTGATTGCTGACAAAATGCAATATAGACGTCAAGGAGGGAAATTTAAGCATCAAACGAACAAGCACTTTCATTGCAAAGCTTATAAACAAAACAAATTAAATGAGAAACACATCGCCCATTGAAAATAATAAATTAGAGTTCAGAACATTTTGTGATAACTCAAAAGGAATTCAGAAATCAACTCTAAAAAAAAAACATTAACTGAGAACTTCCTTAAATAGAAAAAAAAATTACCTTAAATATTAAAGAATGAATTGTGAGATTCAACCACTGAAGCAGAGAATTTCGAAACGGAAAGAAATCCAGAGAGAAGAGGGTGGCTTAAACCTTAAACCCTAGCTTTACTGGGAAGGGAGGCAGTCTTGTCAGATAGAAGATGAGGGCGATTGAGTGGGCTATAATGAAACTAAATCTTTTATATGGGCCAGATGTTAAGCCCAGTCTCAATCACGCACTAAATCAGTCTGCTTATGTTTTCAGCTAACTCCGTGAGGACTCTTGAGTGCATCAGGGTCCTGCGGCTGCTATCATCTTCAACGCCTCCGCGCGGAGGTTCAGTAGCACAATCTCCCGTTCGTGGTTATGCCATCTGTCCTTTTGCCGCTTATACGTCATTTTTGGGCTTTAATATGAATCAAGCCAGTGCCAATTCGGTAACAGTATCTTAGCTGATTACTTTGTTGTCGGAAATTGTACAAATTTAACCTTAAGGGTGCGTTTGGTTAAGAAAATATCATATTATTGGGAATATTAGATCACTACAATGTTAGATTATCTTTAAGATTATTGAGAATCTTTAAGAAAATGTGTTTAGTTAGTGAGAATAAATTCGTGGGTATAAAACATCCCCTCTCATATAAAACTTTAATTTATAACAAAATCACCCCCACCATCCGAAGCCACTGTCTGCTATTGTAGGAAGTCACTGTAAGTTACCTAGAGTAGCCGTGAGTAGCCCACCGTAATTAAAAGGCTCCAATATGGCCATTTTTGGCCATATTGATGGCTGAAAAAGCCATATCGGAGCAGATACCGCCGTTAACGGCAAGATCTCATTTAGATATATGAAGGCCATGGATCTAGTCGTTAACAGCTAGATCTGCTCTGATATAGCCTTTTTGGCCATCAATATGGCTAGAAACGACGATATCAGAGTCCCAGTTACGGTGGGCTACTCACGGCGACTCCAAGTGACTTTCGACGACGACCAGCGATGGTTTGGTTGGCGGCAGGTGGGTGGGGATGGTGGCTTGGGTGGGCTGTAATTTGTTTTGAATTCAAAGGTAATTTTATCTAAAAAGTTAATTAATTGGGGTGAAATAATTAAAAGTCAATTCATGTAAATTAATTTAAAAATAAGTGTATTATTGTCCTAAAATTTTATTAATAAGGGATAAAATTGTAACAAAAATAAGATTACCTTGGTAATCTTAGAATACCTAAGAAAATAGAGGTTATCAGATTATCTCCAATATTATCACTAGTAACCACTATTGGTATTTGAAGATTACCAGAATCTTATATTACTTGACAACCAAATATGATAATCAAGTAATATAAAATGACTTAACCCTAATAATTTTATATAATCCCCAATCAAACACATTTCAGAGATTAGTCGTGATGCATAAACTAACCTGGATAGCATGGTCATAAAAAAAAAATATATATATATATATATATATATTATAAAATAAAACCGCTCTATTGTGAAAAAGTTCTTTTGTTATATTCTCTGGTTCCAAGCCTTTGAACATTAGTTTTGACCCAACAAACATGTGGGTTAAGGCTAGATGTGACATTTTCGCGCCTCGGAATTAATAAAGTTACGCATAGACTCCCTGGACCCTGGTCATATAAAAAAAAATTTGTACAAATTATATTAATATAGAAATATGTTAATTACTAAGATTCCTCAATCATCTAAAATTGTATAAATATAAATTTGATTTTAAAATAAGTCAATTGTTGGTACCACTTATATTCCATACAATATCGCCCGAGTGACTTTGGAATTGTTCATCCATCTAATTTTTATACAATACTGACCTTATTATTAGTCCAGTCCAGTTACAAAAAATTAAACTTGTTTGTTATATATGGTCGTGATGAAGCCATGGCAGGTGAATTAGTAGAGTAGAATTTAAAAAGGGTACAATACGCATTGCTCTGAATTTGTTGTACCAAAGAATTAAAAAGACGCAAGTTAAAATCTCTCTATGCTTAGCGGTAACATAAACTATAAAGCATTAACAAATTAATTAGTAAAAAGATCAAAATTTGGCCACACCATTCAAAAACTTTTAAATGTAATCTTTCGCTATTATAAATATTTCTCCAACACTACAGAAGCCTTTATTCCCTCTTGTTCTTATGAGAAAATATCAAAAGATTGTAACCTGTTTATACTCCAGGAATAGGAAACTGGGTTGTGAAAGCTTCAACCCTACCACGAAGATCTGATACCTTATTCATCAACGAGAAATCCGATGATGTTACGAATTTCATGAAATCTTGGAGCTTTGATCCTTTAACCAATTTTTTAGCTTCAAGTGTTATTTGCACACCCTCGTGAATAAAGTCAGCAACCGCTACGAATTCTTTCTCTGTAAATCCTCTGGTAGTCATTGCAGGGGATCCTATGCGAATGCCACCGGGGACTAGGGCACTCTTATCACCTTTACAATTTAACAATAGCTGGAGTGAGTACCATGACAGCAAAATAGAAGGAAAAACACTCGGGACTTTATAAAAGATAAATGATTAGGACCAGCAAAGCAAGGCATACCTGGCACTGAATTTTTGTTGAGGGTGATTGAGGCCATGTCAAGAATTTTCTCCGCACGAGCCCCATCAATACCCTGTCAATAACAAAGCAAATACTTTTTTACATCCAATAATTCAATGGTATAAAATATCATTTGCAAATATGTTCCTTCACATTATGCATGGTCAAGTGAAATAATTTGAGACATTGCAATTTCACAAAACTGAAGAATTCAGTCTGATATTATAACATTAAAAACAGCACTTCAATAAACAATTTAAAATTGTACACAAAATTACAGTATATGTCATGTTGTACCATATGGTAAGCTAACGCATCAGTTTCTAACATTAACTTCCTATTAAGACTAAAATCATCACTTTGCAAAAAGAATACAAATATTTCAGGACCCCTAACTGTTGGCAAAAAAATAAGGAGTGAGAAACTTGCATTAAATACGAAAACTCAAAAATCATATCAAGAACCCAAAAAACTCACCATCGGCCTCAGATCTACAAGAACCAGGTGATTGTCACTTCCACCTGAAACCAACTTGTAGCCTAATTCAATCAATCGGCCTGCAAGAGCTCTGCAATTAGAGACCACCTACATGAAAGAATTAACTAAATTCAGTCCACTGAGTTGGGATACTCCATAGAAAATATCTTAATCATGGAAGTATGATAACCTTGTCCTGGTAAGCTTTGAACTGTGGAGACTGTGCATGCTTCAAGCAAACTGCAAGGCCCCCAATTGTATGGTTATGAGGACCACCCTGTACATATAAGTGTTCATTATGGCCCACAGAGAGTATTATAACTAAAGAAGATAGAAGCAAATTCCAATGTAGACCAAAAACAAACTATCATTCAGGCGCATGGTAAGAAAGCAAAAGAGACAAGTTCAACTAACCTGTAAACCTGGAAAAACAGCATTATTGATGGCAGACTCTAGATCCACTCCAAGGATGGGATCCTTTCTGAAGAAAATCATACCACCTCTTGGACCCCTCAGGGACTGGATGGAAGTATAGAAATTTATCATGTCATGATAGTAAAAAAAAAAAAAAATAATAATAATAATAAGATAAAAAATTATGAAACATTTTATAGAAAACTAAATTCAGAAATATTTAGCACAACAAGACTATTTCAAGCATTCAAACCAAACCTTGTGTGTTGTTGTTGTCACAATATCACAATACTCAAAGGGGTCAGCCACGACAGAAGCAGCAACAAGCCCACTTATATGAGCCATATCCATCATAAGAAAAGCTCCAACTGCATCAGCAATCTTCCAATGCCAAGTGGTTAGCCACTAAGGAATACACAAACACAGAGCAGAAACCTTTTGTGCCATTATCTAACCGATATTAACGCAGAAGTGGTAATAAATCCTTACCTTCCTCATGCGAGGATAGTCAAAATCTCGTGGATATGCACTAGCACCAGCAATTATGAGTTTTGGTCGAAAGAGAATAGCTGTTTTCTCAAGCATATCATAATCAACAAGTCCTGTTTCAAATACAACAAAAAATTAATCAACCACTAAGCCATATTGTCAATCATTATATCCTAGGCAACTTTGAGAATTAACCAGCTTCACCTGTAGACTCGTCAAGTCGATAAGGCATGGATTCAAAATAAATTGAGGTGCCAGAAACCCGCCTTTTAGGAGTCATGAACCCATGAGACAAATGTCCACCATGAGGTAAGTCCAAACCCTAAATAAGTTACAACAATATATTATGGATTCAACATTTCTAGTAGGACAATAATCATAATTAGAAATTGAGAAAAAAAAAAAAAGTATATAGAGCAACTAACCATTATTCGATCATGTGGATTCATAATAGCAGTGTAAACCTCAAAATTCGCTGGAGAACCTGACAATGGTTGGACATTCACACCCCACTTCTTTTCATCCAAGTGAAATGCTGCCAAAGCCCTTTTCTGACAAAGGGTTTCAAGCTCATCGATGTGCTCATTACCACCATAATATCTGCAGTACATAAAAGGATGTTTTGTTCACGTAAGATACAATATAAAAAATAAAACAAATAAACTTGAATACACATTTCCTTGAAATGGAAAAGGGTTTACCTTTTACCAGGCAATCCTTCAGAATATTTGTTTGTCAAACATGAACCAACTGCTTCCATCACCGCCCGGGATGTAAAATTCTCTGAAGCAATAAGCTCAAGGCTCTTGAACTGCCTCTCTTTCTCTTTATTGATAATTTCACGCACCTGAGGATCTGCTTCACTAAGTTCATAGTCTACAAAGCTACTTCCATTACCTGACATTGGACTTTATAATTCAAGGAACAGCCAGATTTGAAATACAATTTCTAAAACCAGAGAGCAAAACTACAAGTACCTCCAATTTCAGGTACAGATACAGAAGATGGTGGCCTCCCAGTAACCAAACTTCCTTCAATGTAAGAGGATTTGCATGGCTTCATGGAATTTAATTTAATCTGATTTGGGAATCCGCTCATACCAGACCCTTTCGAAGGAAATCGCAAACTCTTGGCCCAAATGACCTGTTGCAAAGAACCATTCACAGCAGCACCACTACACGCCTGCATCTTGGTTTTTATCAATGCCACACAAATATCCTACACATTGAAAATAAAATAAA